TGGGGCTGGAGCCGACACTGGAGCGAGCTCTGGAGCTGGAGCCAACACTGGAGCGAGCACTCGGGCGCACTCTTGGGCGAGGAAGAGGGCCCTGAGCCAGTCATTTCTCCTTTTCCTCCTCTTTCGATTTGACTTCGTAGCGGCCGTCGGGCTTGACAACGGCGCGGCCGGCGGGCCTGACTCGGGAACGGCCGGCGGACTTGACTCGGGAATGGACGGCGGGCTTGAGTGAGCCGCAGCCGGCGGGCTTGAGTGAACGCCGACTTCCATGCCGTGGGGAGAAACAAACGGGAAAACAAAAACACTTAAAAAAAATGGAAAAGAAACATGGGGAGAAGAGGCGCTGCTCACTTTTTGCTGGTCCGGAATTCTGTCACGGTTCGCTACTGTGAGGAGCACGGAGACGAAGGAGCGAGGAGATGAGGAGTGGAATTCAAACATATAGGTTTTAATCACATCCAGGGAGCAAGGAAAACACACGTAGCAAGGGTAGACATATACAATTCCGGACAAGGGAGAACAAAACGGGCTAGAACTCAAATAGGGCAGATAACGAGGGGAAGACAGGTGAGGAGGATAACTAATAACAAGGAACACCTGGAACCAGGCACGTGCACAGATAGGGCTCAACCTGTGCAGAGCACATGCCCTTTTTGTCCTTACACTCCGAAGTGCCCTTTTTTTTTGTTTTTTTTTTTTTCTTCTTCAATAAATCAATGCTATTGGTCACCCTTTACGTCTGTCTGTCTGTTTTACAAATATATTTAGCGAATGAATGGTATTAAAAAGAGTTTGTGACTAAATCAGGAAGGCACATGGGGAGCAAAACACACACAAAACAAGGAACAGAGTCCGACAGCTATTGGGTTGTTTAGACCCAGTGGTTGGGTTACTACCCAGAAGGTTGGGTTAAACATTTAACCCAACCGCTGGGTCAAAACAACCCAGTTGCTGGGTTTGTCCATATTTCACCCAGTGCTGGGTTGTATTTAACCCAACATTTTTTTATAGTGTAGACATCAGGTACTGTTCCTTTTCAAATGTGTTGAATTAATTCACATGTTTTAAATTACAGCCTGATCAAGTTATTCCCTTTCCCTTGGATAATATTGCTGCTAAGCTCCCAATGGAATTTGTTCTATTGCATCCTTATCCAAAATCCTTTCACTTCAGCCCAAGCGCAGGGAGATTGGAACCACAGGGAATAAACAAGAATATTCCTTTAACGTTAATACATAGCCATAGCAATTTGAATAATCAGTACATTGAATGAGTCAGTTATTCATACCACACCTAACATTTAGCGGCATCGTTTTTAAGCAGGCATGTGGAGGCCAATCTTGGAAAGGCTTCTTGAGACATGCTGTTTACAGTTGTTTTAAACCGTACACCAGATTTGACAAATTAACGGGACATGCTCTTGAGTTACATAATTGTAATTTTTTTCTCTCGAATTCCCTGTATTAAAGAGCTAAATTGAAAAAAAAAAAAAAAAAAAACACTGCAGGCTTTTGTGACAATTCTCAGAGGGACATCATGCCTGCTAAGAAGGGGGTTTCAGAAAAATCTGCCATGTTTGCAACTTTCTGCCATGTTTAATTGGAATGGAACTAGTCCCTGGGAAGGAATCCATTGCTTTGGGGAAATTAAATGCTCCATCTGAACAAGTGGGAAAATGACTATACGTTGTCAAAGTGCAGACTTTGACAATTTCAAATTGTAGATCTGTTTTTCCTGTGCTTGCTCTTTTGTATTTCCACTTACATGTTGACATCTCTCTTTTTTTGGCTTCTGCTGTGTATTTGTGTCTCCCCAGGTTCATACCCTCGGCTGTCATTGAGTTTCCGCATCAAGAGAAACATAGGCTACTTTATCCTGCAAACTTACATGCCCTCCATCCTGATCACAATCTTGTCCTGGGTCTCCTTCTGGATTAACTACGATGCCTCTGCTGCTCGTGTGGCCCTGGGTAACCTTTAACATTTTGTTCAACAGGAAGTGATTTTTTCCCTGTATAAAACAATATCAATCATTTTGAGTGTTCAGATACTCTTATATTCTATACTTTTTGTCAATCATGATTAAAGTACTTGAAGCCCTTTCGCATGACCTGCATGAGTGTTCCCCAATGCAATAAACTTGAGCGAAGCTTTAAGCTTGCTGATGCTCAAAAGTTCAAGCGGTTTCAACTTTGACTCCGTTTGCCAGTGATTTCACTGGAAGATTTGCATTAAGTATAATTATGCGGGTGATGGAGGTACAAAATTAAAATAAGACTAATCCAATGTTTATGTAGATCAAGTATGTCTAAAACAGCTTGAGAAAACTGTCCTTAGCATTCCTACTGTATTCATCTCAGTGACAATTGCTTAGCTGACAAAGAACCTGTTTTTTTTCACAAGTACAGGGCTATGCAAACCAGCCCAAAGCATTCTAGGACATAAAGCTTTGTGAAACTATGTCTGTTTTTTTTCTGCAGTATATCGCCAGAATGTTGTTCTTTTTTTTAGCATTGAAATTGTTACATCTTTAGTTTGTTTAAAAAACTAAAATGGTTCCACTTTCTATTAGGTGGCCTTAATGGACTTACATTTAAATTAATCAGTTGATACAATGCACTTATTGTGCACATACATGTTTTTACACTGTACTAATATTAAAAAAATGCCTGCATGTTATTACATTTGTAATTAATTTCTGTAATTACATTTATATTTACACTGTTGACCCATCCCTTACACCTTAACCAACCATGAAACCTACCCATACCACCAAACCTGTCCCTAACCTTACCCGTATCCCACCTCAATAGCAGAAAAAGTGTTTTGCAATTCAATATGAACACAATAAGTACACTGTACTTATTTTTTGATGTAAGTACATAGTAGTTAAGGCCACCTAATATAAAGTTGAACCCAAAAAAGAGTTCTGTTATGGCAGGCTTAAAACTTGGTCATTAAAAGAATCCTTACTATAAGACCACCAAATAGTGACATGTCTTATTTAACTTTTTTTTTTCTGGGTATGTCTTATTGCACCTTGGGCATAAAGTAGGGGCATGACGTCCCTGTTAAGTGGTCCATGAATGCCCTGACGCAAGTCGCGTGAACAAGACACGGTTCATTCAAATGGCTTTCTTGCAGGTGTAACTACGGTGCTCACTATGACAACCATCAACACCCACCTGAGGGAGACCCTCCCAAAGATCCCCTATGTGAAAGCCATCGATGTCTACCTCATGGGCTGCTTCGTCTTTGTTTTCCTGGCCCTGCTCGAATATGCCTTCGTAAACTATGTGTTCTTTGGAAGGGGACCCCAGCAGCAGAAAAAGATCAACGAAAGGCTAAACAAAGCCAACAACGAGCGTCCCCGCTATGAGGAGAAGCGTCTGAGGGAACAGGTACGCAAGGTCTCTTGTAAACCATTTATAACGGTTGCAGAGTTCATTTTTGTGCTAATTAAAAGCTAATTTAAATGAATTTAATAAGCGTTGACAATGTTCATGCATGTCTAAATGAATCCGTATCCACTTAGTTTGTAAGCAGAACAACTTCCCTCATCAAAATAACTATCGCCTGAATGAATCGCTTCACATCACTGCTAAAAACGAACATTCAATAGCCCATTAACCATCACTTTACGTAATCAGTGACGTATTTCATTTGATTGAAGCTGCATTTCATTATTAAGAGAGGTTCCTCTCGCTCGGAAAGTTACAAATTACATTGTCATTACATTATCAGATTCTAGTCTGCTTTATTGCCGCAGGCTTCTCTTTCAATCCGAGTACCGTAGAGATAGACCGATTCATTTTTCCCTTCTCAAAATATGCCAGCCATTTTCATACTTACAACAACTGTTTGGACTAAGCTCAGCGACTAAACCAGAGTAATGAGAGTTTTTGACTGAATTAAAGCATTTGTGTCTGTGTCTTTTATGCAAGCTCTTTCTTATTCACCCTCACATTTATGCACTTTTGTATTCTTTGAAAATTGTTGCTTGATTGTCAGTTTATATGGGCGTTTTAATGTTCTCTTCATTTTTTCTTTCACATTGCAAGGACTCCATTTCAGCGCCGTTTCAAAGCAACACCCTCAGGTCATATACACAACGAAGAAATCTATATCTCGAGGAGCAAAGAAAAGTCGGGGTACGTGCATTCAGTTGAAACAGTAGACTCGGAAGTTGATGAAATATTGTCATTAACTACTGTGTGTGTGTGTGTGTGTGTGTGTGTGTGTGTGTGTGTGTGTGTGTGTCAGCCATCGCATTTTAAATGATTCTTGTAAAGTTTTCTCTTCCTAAGTAAAGTTTGGGTTACACTTTATTTCGATAGTCCACTTTAGACATTCTACTAACTGTAAGTAACTTTGCAACTACATGTCAACTAACTCTCATTAAAGTATTTGTAGACTGTTAGGTTAGGGTTAGTAGAATAAGTTGCCGTACTCGCAAAGTTACTCGCAGTCAGTAGAACGTCTGTTGATCGACCATCAAAATAAAGTGTTAGTAGATATTAAGCACACAGTTTACTAATACTCTAATGACTGCTAGTTGACATGTAGTTGCAAATGTGTTTATAGGTAGTAGAATGTCTAAAGTGGACTATCAAAATAAAGTGTTACAAAAGTTTGTTGTAACTGTGACATCACATCATCGTTGCATCCGCATGGAAGGTTGAACGCTGTTTGAGACAGTTTAGGACCGTCCCTTTACTATGGCCGCTCATGACCAGCCTTCTCTCTCTTTTGTTGTCTCAAGGTGGACGCTTACGGAAACATTCTTCTCACCACTTTGGAGATGAACAATGAGGTGATACCGTCCGACATTGGCAGCAGCGTCAGTGACTCACGGAACTCCGTCATGTCCTTTGACAGCTCCGGAGTGCAGTTCCGCAAGCCCATGGCTTCACGGGACGGGTTCAGCCACCACTCGTTGGACCGCAGCGGCATGCGCAGTCGTGCCAACTGCCGGCTAAGAAGGCGCTCGTCCAAGCTGAAGCTCAAAATCCCCAACTTGGCGGATGTTAGCACCATTGACAAGTGGTCCCGGGTCATTTTTCCTATCACTTTTGGATTCTTCAACCTTATCTATTGGTTGTATTACGTGAATTGATATGCGTTCCCCAAGGAAACATGGGCCATATTTTGAGAGCACATTGAATTGGCTTTGATACAATTGGAAAATATGTGTACACATATATGAAAAGTTGATACATATGTATATGCATATTTCTATATATTATATTTCTATATACACATGCGTGTGTAAAATCTAAAGGACTTTTCTGGTGTAAAAAAACAACAAAAAAAGAGAAACATATTATATAGAATGACTTGAATGTTTAAGAATAATACAAAAGAAACATTTCAAGTATTTGAATTCTTTTCCTTCTGAAACAAACGACGAGTAACATCCATTAGTCCCCTGTTCGAGGGTACGGAACTAAAGACTGCATGATATTTTTGCTAAAAGAAAAGATCGCAAGAGAAAAATAACGTCTCATTGGCTTTTTATCGATACTGTAATCAACCTCTCCCAACCGCAGCTCATGAAATCAGAAGTGGCTTGTGTATTTTGGGGCATCATCCGAGCGGTCCCCCAGACCCGATCCACTTCTTTCCCCATCCCCATGGAAGAGACTGACGGAAATGTCCGTTTCTACACTGTACAGCAGCCTCTTTTGGAATTATGTGTCATTCCTTGATTTTGCAAGTGACAAGCGTGCTCTTTATCGGACCTCTCAGCTCTGGTCAATGGTTTACACTGGACGGCCATCTTGAGTTTTAACCAATGCATCCTGCCCAGAGTCAGTATGTTTCATTTTCTCTCCTCTCTTTTTTGCAGATTCTCCTTTCTTTCAGTTTTGGGCTAAGGGTTTAATCCTAATTTTTGGAGGGCATCACCTAAACATGTTCTAGAGGTAGTTCATTAATAGATATTAAGCCACTGGTATGCTTCATTCATTGGGAATTTAAGAAAACGAAGAAAAAACAAAAAAGAGTACATTCATTCATTCAGTAGCCTTATTGACATGGTCAGGTAGTATTGTTGTTCTTTCTTTACTCTTGTTCCTAGTGCATTCCATCTGTTCTATTGATACAGTATTCATGAACATCTTGTAGAGCTTTGTGTTGTTTGGAATGGAGGGAAACCCTTAGTGAGCTGTAACGTTTCTTTAGAACTCGGATTTCCAACTATGTGAAAATGTACAAAATAAGGAAAGAAAAGATTATTGTGTATTCAACAGGGGATGTGACCATGTTTTTATCTGTTTCATGTTTAAGTCAACCACTCGAACCATAGTGTGACCTGATATTGTATATATTCAGTCATTGTAGTGATCCATCCTGAGAATGATATACGCTGATGTTTTTAGTTTCTCTAAAATGTGCCTGTCTGAAACCTGAAGGATGTGTCCTCAGTTCATCAATCAGTGAAAGAGGGCCGAATGACCCTTGATCTTTGACCTTTCACTTTAAGCACTGCAGACCCACCCACAGCTCTGACGTTTTGCATCTTGGGATTGAATCTCAAAGATGAATGACATCAGCAAAATCAGGAGGAAAAAAAAAAAAGCCGTATTTTCGGGGCAAAATGACATGTACGATAAAAGCCATGAACTGAAGTGACAACCAAAAAGGCCTATAATCCATTTCTCTTTTTACCATTAACCTCTGACTCACCCACCACCATTTCTTTTGGGCTTCGCCTCATTATGATTTACCTCAGCTTCATTGACATTGAGGTCACCAGATCGTTCTCTATCTCCAGGTGACCGCTCAATTTCATATATCAGTTCATCTACCATCCACCTTCATTCAAAGCTCATTTCTGGTAGTGTCTAGATGTCTCACTGCTCAGAGTAGTTCAGTTGGGGAGAAGCATCCCAACAAATGCGTTGGATAAGTTCTTGAAGATGTGGATGAGAACTGAATTGCTGAATAACTGAGCAAGGGGACATTTAAAAGCGAAGAGGGTCCGGTGGTGGTTTGAGAACACGAGAGCCCTGGATTTGCTTGAGTTCCCTGAGGAGGATCTTCTGAGCAGGCCTCAGACCTCAGAGCTCAGCAGAGTCCCTTGGCTCTCGACCCCCACACCAGACCTCTCAACACTCGGGAAAGTGTGACCAGCCACCAAATCACCAACAGATCACTCATTCCATGGAGAAACAAAGGAATCAGGGAAATCCGAAGGTATAGGAGGCTGTACCTCAAGGCACTTGCAAGGTCCTACGTTACTTGTCAGCAGATGACCGTAGAAGCAAGTTCGAAGGATTTCCACTTATTGTGTTATTATATTTGTTATTGTGAGCATGACCATAACACCTGTGCAAGGGAGCCAGTACTCTCAAGTGCAAAGCAAGACATGCACAGTTGCATGCACAGTGTAGCAATTAAGTTAAGCGCAAATCTGCACTAAAAGAGGATGGAGGTCAGAGTGCTTTTCTTGAGAAACCCTAACTATTATGAGTGTTATGGGGGTGCCTTGGCCAGTTACAACTCCCAGTAGGCATTCAAGATGCTGCAATGCTTTGCCAATGAAGGTTCAAAGGCAGAGTCGTTAGGTATACACATTTAATCTATAGCATTTAGATGTGCATTTACAATGTAGATCAGACCTTTTAAGCTACAATATCGGTCCACCTCTACTAGTGCAGTGTCGTAGACAAGTGTAGTGATAAGTTGAAAATGCCAACTGCACCATTAGTCAACTTTTCTCTTAATGTATTCAAGGGAAACGGACCAGTGTTTTTTTGGGGGGTTTTTTTGAGACTGGAAAACAGAGTTTGCTTTGCCTTTGACAAATTGGAAAAGGTGGAAAAGTGGCATGACGTCTAGGTGGCATATATATTTAAGTTTATTATCATTTGAGTGCCAGCCACTATTAACTGATAAGACTGCACAATTAAAAGGATGTTGATATATTTTTGTATCAGATATTACTGCTCTAAGTTATCAATCAGTGTTAATAGGTGCTCTAATTGTTTCCTTAGAGTGACGAATAATAGAGAAAAAAGTGCACACAATATCATAACCTGTGGTTCGGTATATTATCCATGAGAATAATTAGAAATTCTTAGTAGTAGTTTGTACAAGAGGTTTCATAACTATATACATATATAAGTTAGCGCCCATTTACTACATAGCTTCGTTACCTTCTAGTAGACTTGCTGGCACTATGCAGTCTTTCTCGCTAATGCTCAGTTCAACGTTCCACAGGGTAATCTGAAACATTATTGGTCACGATAGGCAAGGGTTGAATTTTTCGATAGCGTGGGGATTAGTGAAATGCTAATACAGCCATACTGTGCCACTGAGACATGTTGGATGTTGAATTTGTTCAAATGGATATTGTGTTGATCATCAACATGTTCTTGTAGCACCAGCACTCTGTTTATTCACAGTGAGCTTACACCTAGAACAGATTTTTTTTTTTGGTAAGATTCTGGTTTGTGGGCATTCGTCCCTGCAAGATTTGCCTTAATGAGATCACTAAGCATTTTTCATGAAATATTTCTGAGCAATACAATGCAAATACAACAAAGTTCATGAGAGAGTGATTCTCTTTCAACTCAATTCAAGCCTTAAACATGGTTATAGAGCATTATAATTTGATCATTGGACATTTGGGGTGCAGTTAAGTTCTAGAACCTAGAAAATATAGTGAGAAATTAGTTCCCTCAAATGTCTCACCCAGGTACTCTGGCTATGTTTCCACTGCTTAGAACCTCAGAACCTCAAAATGTAGAACTAAATATTTACAGGTTTAGAATTCTGATGTCTCACTTTTATAATTGCAATTATGACTTTATTTCTGTTATCTATGCCTTTTTATCTCACGTTACTCACAGTTTCTTGTAATTGTGACTTTAACCTCACAGTTTCCACAATTGTGGAACACAATTATATCTTGTAACTGTGCGGACTCCTAATTGCGATTTTATTTCTCATAATTGCATCTTTATATTACACTGAAAAAAAAAGTTATTTTAGCATTTTATCCAGGTTATATGGTTCTGAGACTTGTAAGTGGAAACATGGATATTGTAGAGTAATTCACACCAGAAAGTATGGTATAAATAACCTATTAGAAAAAAAAAATTGCATAGATTATATGGATTACAGATTACGTAGCAAATAATAGTACAAAATTATTCCCACAACATGGAGGGTTTTCATGCTAATTTCTTTACAGTCGGCCTGCTTGACCTGTTTGCTAAGTCTGCAACCTACTGCAGTACGAAGACATTGATAGATAGCTCTATTGAAAATCTACAATGGCACAAGTTGCTATTTTAGAAATAACTATCAGGTTAATCATACAGTCTCACATATGTTTGACTATCTGAGGGAGTTGGTGCATGCAACAAACCATACTAGCATTTTAGCTTTTTATTTGAAAGTTTAGTTTCACCATAGTGCTGGGATAGATAAGTTGTCGTGAAGACCAATTTGCCAGTTTACAAGGGTCATTTGGCCAAAATACTCAGATAAATGTAGCAGCGCTGAGCTGAGAGAGTGATGGTAGTTTACTCATGGCAGTCCATGTTAAATTAGCTTTTTTGTTGTTTTGTAATCTTAATTTCAAAATCACAAAGGCTACATTGTTACTTATTCTGCATGATTAGCTATTTTGTATTTGAACAACCTGTGTCTTTTGTTGTGTATTTGAAATTCTTTTTATTTATGAAATTAATCAATTTTGAAGGTTCGTGGCTCTGTTATCAGTCTATCTCAGAATGTGCCAGATGTGTGGGTTTTAGAAATTGCTGCTAATTACCACTTTTAGCTAGTGATGCACAAGACAGCGTTCAGTTTTGACCACTTTAATATACATGTGTCATTACTAGCATTTGGCCATTCTTTGCCACCTTAAAAACTGTGTTTGAAAAGAAATGGGTCCTTCGTGTCTATATATGTAACAACTAATCTTGCACACTCTCTGAAGAATAGTGGCTCAGCCATAGATACACTGTTGCAAGTCGCAAAAATGGCAGACTCCATCTATTGAGATGGATATTATTTGTGACCCTGGACCACAAAACCAGTCTTTTACGTCGCTGGGGTATATTTGTAGCAATAGCCAAAAATACATTGTATGGGTCAAAATTATAGATTTTTCTTTTATGCCAAAAATCATTAGGATATTAAGTAAAGATCATGTGCCATGAAGATCTTTAGTAAAATATTTTTATTTTTTTGCACCCT